TCTAAAAGAGTCTAATCTCAGCAGCATTAAGATTTGGGTTCAAAAATCATTAATAAAACTAATTCAGGAATGAAACACTGAAGTGTATAAATGACACTTTGGCGAGGTTTTAAATACGCTGTAAGTTTGCCAGTGAGGCACCAGTGATGCATGGAAAAACCAACATTTGAACTTATCACCATGATGTCAAATCTGAGGCAAAAACACAATGATTTCACAGAGATGTAAAAGGTGAATTCGGGGACGCTCAAAGATGTAACATGCACATTCACACACTTTGAAGATGAAGAAATTACTTATTAAATGATTAGTGTGGACATTGTCTTCCCTGTTTTTTCCTGATAAGTGAATGATTTTAGTTTTAAAAACCCATTATAACATAAAGTTTAGAATGCTTGACTTGCAACACCTGATCAGTCATCTCAGTGTCAAGACGCGTGCGTAAAGAGCCCTTCTCCACATTCTTGGTGTGGGCGACGGTGGCACAGGAGTTAAGTGCTCGTCCCGAAATCGGAAGGTTGCAGGTTCGAGCCCCGCTCAGTCTGTCGCTGTCGTTGCATCCTTGGGCAAGACACTTAACCCACCTTGCCTGCTGGTGGTGGTCGGAGGGACCGGTGGCGCCAGTGCTCGGCAGCCTCGCCTCTGTCAGTGCGCCCCAGGGCAGCTGGGGCTACATCGTAGCTCATCCCCACCAGTGTGTGAATGTGTGTGTGAATGGGTGAATGACTGATTGTGTTGTAAAGCGCCTTGGGGGGTTCCAGGACTCTAGAAGGCGCTATATTAAATACAGGCCATTTACCATTTTCCATACAGTTAAACTGGGATTTACAGGTGCTGCCATGTTGTTTTTATTTCTTTTGAGACAGTGTCTGCACTCATGTGGCTGTCTTAGTTTGTCCAGTTTACTTACCAGGAAGGGGGCGGGACTTAAAACTTGAACTGGAAAAAGACAGGTAGGTGATGATCACTTGCTCTGTATATGAATCTAGATCTGGTGTTATGCTGAAATATGTACTCCTATTTTTATTTATTTTTTTTTTTTAGAAAAAGGGCTGTTTAGCTCACTTTCTACTTATTCTTGCCTGCTTGGGCAAACATTTTCAATGAAATAAAAAAAAACTCTTGATTCAAATCTGGTGTGTTTAAGCAAAGAAACAACTCAAACAAGTAAGGTGGTGTGGCCTTGGAAGGCAGGAATTTCCCACATCTGATGTAGATTGTATACATGTCCAAAACATGATGATTTGTGTCCAAACACTTAACCAACCAGGCTACTGGTTCTCCACCTTTAATCAGATGCACCCAACAGCTTCCTGGCAGCTCAGTTTTCATAAAGACATCTAGAGCTGCTTGTAAATATGAATGTAAATAAAACTGCCAACGCAACCCTACCTGATCCAGGAATGGTTAAGTGTGCATAGTCTGGTCCCAGTTTTGCATAGCTGCAGTTTCTCGAGCTGCCAGGCTTTATACTGGTTTCCATTTAACGGGACGGAGTGTTCCAGCTCTGCTGTCTGAGCGGAAATTTTCAGCACCCACGAGGAAAAATACATCTTAACGCGCACAAAAATGCTCTGATGACGTCAGGATAGCTGCGTTTTCACTGACGTTTAATCAGCATAAATAATTCTGATTGTTCTGAATAATCATTTATTAAAACAAAGCATGCACAGCAGTTGTAGAGAGAGAGAGACTCACCGTGGTTGAACATTGCGGACCGAAGCCGGTTGTTGTAAATGGACGAATTTTCCATTAGAAAGTTTCCCGCGTGGATATGTCCCTTCAGTTTCCCGTCAGAACGTGAACACGAAGAGAGAAAGACGCGACTCGGTGCGTTGTGCGGCGTTTGAGCCTGGTCCTCGGCCAGTCAGCCTGTCAGTTTGTGTTAGGGCAGCAGCTGCCTCTGATGCTCCACTCACCGACCGCTGTGGTTGTTTAAAACTCACGAGCCGCCTGCTGGCTGTAGACGACTCGGTCACGTCACGACGTACGAGGCTCTGCAGCATCGCTCTGCAGCAGCACCGTCAGAGTGTCTCTCCAGTCGGAATGAAAACAATCGCACGTGGACTGGATGGGAGGATTGTCACGTGGATCTTGCCAGGGTCCCATAGTCCCACGGATTGCGTTTTATTATTTTCAAGTGAAGTGAGTCGTTTAGCGCGTCATCAAAGTAAATAAATACAATTACAATGATTTTAAAAGGGAAAAAGAAGCCACTGATGAGAGCTTTAGTAAAAACGATTTTTAAAAGAAGTAGACGGTTACAGCCTGAATAAATGAAACCTTTTTGCGTGAAAGTAAACCATTTTACAAGATCTCATAAATGAGGAAAACAAAGGTTTGCATTTATTGATGTGAAATTTGACAACAAATAAAAGGTGAGCAATAAAAAGCAATGATTTTGAGTCTTTGTTATCGACACAGCCAAACACAATATGCAAATAGTTCAGAGAAAAATCTCAGATTACCGCTGCCAGCGTTTGAGATTAAATTAGCAAACAAGACTGCTCCAGGAAGACGTAGATGGATGTGTTCACAAATCGTATCTTCCTAGAAGCGAACAGTGACCTGATTTTAGCATTAATCCGTTTAATTGAGGAGAAACGCAGTTTACCGAGAGACGACTGTTAAAGGTCACCGGAAGATATACGGTTAACTCTTCTGGAAAAACAGGACCGTTCCAGTTGACTGGTAGGCAACACACAGGTCTCACGTGGAACTTTAGCGCTATCTGCTGGCCAAAATAAAAAATGCACGTCTTCAGAGCAAATATTTAAAGGCATATTATGCAATTTTTAAAAATTTTAAAATAACTTTTTTTAGCCAGTATGTGCTAAATGACCCGTTACAGCAGTGGTCGGGAACCTTTTTGGCTGAGAGAGCCATGAAAGCTAAATATTTTGAAATGTATTTCCCTGAGAGTCATGTGTGTGTGTGTGTATATATATATATATATATATATATATATATATATATATATATATATATATATATATATATATATATATATATATATATATATAAGCAGTCAGAAAAGGAAAACCCCCTTTTCGTATATAAGTGACGAAAAAGGGCACTTTTGGCGTCCGGGGTTTGACGCGGAGGGTGGCTGACCAAGTGTTGGTTTTTGACGTGCTGAGAGTGAGAATGTATTGCTTATTAAACAGGTGCGGTAGAAAATGGATGGATATTAAAATGCACGAGAATGTTTTTTATGTTTAACACTGTGGTTTCTGTGAATTACCTGAGAGCCATATGCAATCATCAAAAGAGCCACATACAGCTCGTGAGCCATAGGTTCCCTGCCCCTGCATTACAGGGTTGATGAAATGCCACTCAGACCCCACTGCCCTCTCTGGCCAGAAAAATGTCACACTTGCAACTTCAGAGTGAAGAAGAAGAAGAAAATATCTTTTCTATAGCGCCTCTCAAGATAAAAATCACGAGGCGCTTCACAAAAACAAAAAATGTACAAATATAAAAATGAATTTAGAAAATGTTTAAATTTATTTAAAATGAGCAAAAAATAGACAAGTGTGATAAAAATGTAAAGAAAGAGAGAGAGAGTGAATAGGAAAGAGGGAAAAGAGTGCAGGTTTAAGACATCTTTACAGAATGGAAACGACTTCAACTCAAATGGTTGTTTTCCGCTTGGTCCTAGTGCTCAACCAGTGTCTAGTTACTATAGCGTGATGTTGCTTTTGGACGGTAAAAAGTGCAGGGGTCAAAACTTGACTTTGGTACAAGTGGTGTTGGTGGGTGGGGGTGGGGGTATGTTCCCCCCTTCCCCTCAAAAAATTACATCTATGATAGTTTCCAGTCAGGCTTTTGTAGAGCTCATTCCATTGAAACAGCTTTTCTTAGGGTCTCTAATGACCTTCTGACTCAGTGATACAGTTTTCTGTTCTGGTCCTGCTGGACCTGACTGCAGCCTTTGACACTGTTGACCATCACCTGCTTCTAGATAAACTGGGATACTGGGTAGGCCCATCAGGATCTGCTCTGGAGTTGTTCTCCTCTTATCTGGCTGAGCGTTCCTTCTCAGTGGCTGTCTCCATGTTTGGGTCCTCCATGAATCTAATGATTGCTGTGGCTTGGATCACCAGAAGGTCACCCCACTTCTGCAGTTGAAAATTTTACTTAGAAAATCTGCAGATGATTTTCAGCAAATTAATTTTTTTGTTCAAATTCTGTTGTTGAAGTTGTTAAACTTCCATACCTCACTCATTAGAAGAAGAAGAAAAAGAAGAAAAAGAAGAAGAAGAAGAAGAAGAAGAAGAAGAAGAAAATATTATTTCTATAGCGCCTCTCAAGATAAAAATCACGAGGCGCTTCCACCACCTACTGGTGACATGCGCAATTGTTGAAGAGGGTTTGAGGTGCTGATGACCTGGTGCATACAGTGGCTTAGCTTATGGCACATGGCCAAAATCTTGTGCCAGTCAGACATGAATACGTTAATGCGCCATTGGGTGCTGGAAAGCGTGACAGTGTTGCCGCCATCTTGGATAGGTCCCTTACTTGCTAAACACTGGAATCAACGCAGAGTGAGCAACTATGCCCGTTTTTCGTGCACCCTACGGTTGCAACAACCGGTGTACTAGTATTGACAGAAGATCACGTGACACTACTATTGACCTTTTTAAGCTACATTTTGAGATTTTACATTTCAATTTATTTTATTTGATCATATTTACATTTTAACCATCATGCCATACCATGTGTCTAATTTAAATAAAACACGTTATTTTGTTGGGTAAATTCAGTAGAAATAAATGCACTGGGGGTAAATGGAAACCCATCCAAGATGGCAGCCTGCCGCTACATCAGCTCCAGTCCACGTCGGGTCTATGTATATGATGTTTGTGGTGTGTGGAAATTTCTTCAGGAGTTTTCTAGTTCCAGTTAGTAGCAGAAGGACATGGTGAATTATGTGGATTTCACCTCAGAATAAAAACTTTACAATCTGAGACAGAAAAAAGAACCCTTTGAGTCTCGGATCTGTTTAAGGAGTAACAGTTTTATTCAAAGCTGTGATCAAAAGGAAACCAAACACAGTCAACTCCTCAGAGTCTGAATGTTCACGTTCAGGATTAAAGTGCAGAATTGTTTTCACAGCTTGTGTAAAAAAACATTAAATAAGACAAAAACAGATCTACAGTATTAAAATATCAAAACTTACAATGCAGATCTGGAAACTATAAATATGATACAAACACAACATGTAATCAGCTATGATATTCAGTTCACTTGAATTAGGCTTGCAGTTGTGATACGTGATAAAAAACAGGAAATCAGTTCATGTTTTCGAGTCGTTGGCAAGGCTAGCTTACAACAAAGGCACAGCATTGTTCAGAGGTAACGATCCTTTGCAAAGAAGTGGTGCAACAACATTCTTAGTGGTCCTCACGGACACGTCTGGCGTGAAGCATAAATAGGTGAAGACAGCTTTTTACGGCCCTGAGCCAAAGGATGAGGAAGAAGTGCAGGAGGCCAGTTTAGGTGTCTGACTATCAGCAGCGTTTGCATGCTGGGCGGGCATCGCAACTGTAGCTGAGCAACAACACAGAACGTCGTTCACAAAGGACCGGTCTTTAGGCAGCAGGCAAAACTAAGACATCACAACCTCTCAACACCAAACTCAAAAACTCTTGTTTGCTATTGAGAGCGCCAAGTTCCCAGAACCCTTATTAACAGTTGAAAGGCTCCATCAGTGGCTTGCATTCATATATCAACCTGAACTGACATAAAGCATGTCCTTATCACAAGAAGCTCGAGAAAAAAAATGGCTTCAAACTGCCATTTAGTGCAAATAAAAGTACTCGAATGTATAAAAAAGGGATTTCAGTGTAGAAATTGAAAAAAAGATGCCTTTTTAACGTGTATTTTCTTATTATTATCAGCCCTGCTTTTTGCAGTTTCATCTTTTTGTCTTTCATAGTTTTTTTTATTAAAAATCCACAATATTTATAGACTAAAACATCATAAGAGTAGAAGCAGAGGAGATCTAGCCACTACATCATGCAGCTTGCAGGAAAAAAAAACCCAAAAACCCAGCAAGAATTAAAAGATCTTTAAAGACAGAAAACCTACGTTAGAAGGTGCAAGGGACATACAACGGAGATGTTTTCTGAGTGTGCGTGTTAAAACGATGCACGCAGACGGGTGTATGGACAGAATAAACAGCGATATTTACAGAACAGCTAGCTTTTATATGTAAACAAACGATGAGTCATCCTCAGGGTACAACACGGTTTGTGGACCAACAACTGAGGCAGTCAATGATGATAATATGCCAACACACTACAGTGCATCAGAAAAGAGGGAATTATAGGTCAGTTGTTAACCCTCAGAGTATCACGTGTCCTAACCTTAACCCTCCTCTTTAACCTCTCAGTCACAATTACAGCAAACTAAAGTGTTAGCGCTAAGAGGAGGACTGTCACTAGAGCCAATCAGAAAAGCTTTTGCAAATTTAATTTTTTTTCTATAATCAATTACAAAAAAAAAATATTTCAAGAGTTATTTATTGACTGGAAACTGAGGTTTAGAGATGTTTTCTGGTGCCGCTCTGGCACAGTGTTGACTAATTTAGATAATTTTTAGAACATGCCTTTAAAATGCTTTTTTACTCTCATTTTCTTCTGGTCGACCAATAAAAATATGGCAATGTAGCATTTATATAAAATATGTCTGTATATTTACAATATTTAAAACATTTACAGTGTCGCCTGCTTTGTGTTTAAATGCCAAACGTGAAGAAAATGTGCAAACAGCTCTTTAAGCTCAGACACAACGTACAGATTTAGATGTGTACCTTAATGTAAAGTCAGTGCTACACTTTAAATGGTTGAGACATGATGAACCAGGACCTGACCTTCAGACCTGGTCTTCAGTAAGACACTTAAAACTTGGAAGGATCTAATTCCATGCTGTTGTTCTTTTTAAAACACAGAAATAGTTTTGTTTACCTGTTTTGTCCTCAGGCTGAGGAAGCCTGCAGCCGCCGGCGAAACGTAGCGACAAAACAGGTAAACAAAACTGTTTCTGTGTTTTAAAAAGAACGACAGCATGGAATTAGAACCACGACACAGTAAGAACACGCCTAAGATGTTCAATTGGAAGGATCTGCTTCACTTGTACACGTGGATCGACAAACATCGTCTCTAAGACAACAAACTGGCTTTTCTTAGTTGCATTTTCAGGTTTAGTTTGGAGATCTGAACCGAATGAAGAAACAAATGCACACAGAAACACCGGAAAGCGCAAACTGCACAATGTACTCAGAGAAAAGCAGCTACAGTTAATTTTTTACAGTATGCCCAACTGGTGCGATCACTCTGTGTGTGATATCTACATGGTTCAAAAGTCTTGTTTTGAACTTTTTTCTGATTGCATGTATAAATATAGCTTCAGCTGAAGCATGGTCGTGTGCATCTCTCAGTGGCTTTTTTACATCCACCTTTTCCCCCTGAGTCTATTTGTGTGGCTGGAACCAGCTAAAGCCAGTGTTGCCTGCCTCCATCGTGGAGAAGTCAGAACACGTCTCCTCCAGCCATGCTGTGCCACCTGAGGTGGGCGATCGCTGCCTCGCGTTGGGCTAACTCCACCTTCTCGTTCCTCTTGTGGTGATGGACCCTACTCAGGCTGCTCAGGATGAGTGTGCAGGCCGTTCTCAGGGTGTTTGACGCTGTGGCGCTCCCAGAAGGACTTGTGCAGCTGGTCCAGTTCAGACATCAGGGGCAGACCAATGTCCAAGTGCATCTTCAGGTTCTCCAGCCACTCCTCCAGTTTGGAAAAAGCAGGCCTAAGTAGTAAAATGTCATGCATTCAGTAAATAACAGGGTGAAATGGACCTTTATCTACAATTGTCGCACAAATCTTTAGGAGATGTCTGACCTTTTGTCTGCATCAAGGTCACAGCAAAGAGCAGCCATGGGGAAGAAAGCAGGGGGACAATCAGGAGGACAGAAGTGCTCCAGGAAGCCAGAAACGTTGAGTCCAAAGTCCGTAGCCCTGGGGAGGTAGTCTGGGTCTGCGTTCACTCGACCAATTATCTAATGGAGACAAAACCAATTTAAATCATCAAAGCTGCTGTTGACTGTCTAAAAGCAACTACAATAATTGCATTTTTTTGTTATAGTTGCTGAATAATGAGAGATCATCTGCAGAAGACTTACCTCACAGAGCATGATGCCAAAAGAAAATATGTCGACTCTTTCATCGTAGCTTTTTCCTAGAAAAGACAAAGTTAGCATGTCTTCTCATAGAAATAACCTAATGTTTACATTAATCATGCACTCTGTGTATCGTACCGTGGATCATCTCAGGAGCCATCCAATACGGGTTCCCCACCACAGTGTACCTCTTTCTACGGTCAGGCTTCTTCAGGCCCGCAGACAGTTTTCCCTGCGCCAGCTTTCCTTCAAGCTTATCATCCACCATGAGCCGAGCCAGACCGAAGTCTGCCACCACCACAGTGTTGTCCTAGATCATCCAAATACGACATTTAAAGATTATTCTGCTCAGATCAGATCAAATTAAAGATTCAACTTAGATTTTTATTATTAAGGTCGTGCACAAAGGGACAGTAAGCTGTTACCTCTCGCACCAGACAGTTGTGTGAGTTCAGGTCCCGGTGAATTATGTTCATGGAATGGAGATACGTCTGAGGAAAGACAGGAAGTAAAAAAAAAAAGGATCTAAAATGGGCATCAAGAGAAATTAAACTCCATTTTCATGTTAATTTGCCAGGATTGAACATTTCTGGTATTTACCACTGTACCCATCAGCACCAGTATTATTAGTATTAGTGTTATTAAGATCTTCAAAAGCTTATGGCTATCACTTAATAACATTTATATAAGATTCCTGCAAAAGCAAAATAAAATAAAATATTGAATAAATGATAGATCCATATCTGTAAAATGTTGTTGGAATGTAAAAAACACAGGAATCCGTCACATTTTGATGCTAGAAAAAAACCTTGATACAGAACTTTTTTGCTCTTGCTGCTGTGTTTTCCAACAAGACCACTAGAGGGAGTTAGCAGGGAGCCTAGCTGCTCAAATCGGAGTCACTTGAGTGGTTTTTAACTCACCATCCCAGCAGCGATGTCCTTGGCGAAGCTGACCCGCTGGTTCCAGGGATGGTTACTGTCCTGCACGCAGAAATCACACAAACATCATTAAAAAAAGCTGCTAAAACCAAGACCTGGAGTAACAACACACAGTTTTATCTCTGAAGTTTCCTGCTCACCATTTTCTTGATGGTTTCCCTCAGGGTTCCTCCCTTGATGTACTCTGCGATGAAGTTGAGTCTCTTGTCTTTGTAGAGGACTCCGATGAACTTGAGCACGTTGGGGTGATCGAGGCATCGCATCACTTTCACCTGAAGACACCATCACAAAGTCATCTTAAGGTAAAGTGGTAAGGCAGAAAATTACACCTCAGAGAGTAAACACGACGTCAAAAACCAGACTTGCACAAGAAAATTACGCTCAGATCAGGCGGCTTTGGGGGTTAAATGAGCTCCTATGCACACGCTTCCCTCTCTGAATGTTGTTTTGTTTGGAAGAGGAGAAAAAAAATCACTGTTACTCCTAAACTTTTCTCTTCCTGCGCCCAGTAAATTAAAAGAAAGCAGCAAGTTGAGACTTTTGGCCACCAACAAACAAGCAGGCTGAGCTGTGGTTTATTTTAACTGTTGTCTGCACTGATTACAAAGTAAGAGCTCAGTCCTGCTGCAAAATAATAATACAGAAAAAAACCACACACACGCACACACACACACACACAACCAGAGAACACCCCAGACAGACAACATCAGTATTTTGATTTCAGATACGCAAAAAAGAAGAAACTGTAGCCTCGTGCTATTTGAATTGAGTGCAGCATTAACCAATAGAGTTAGACATCTGCTTATGTACAGATGCCAATCGCATAGCAGGTACACACATATGTGGATGTAGCTAGACAATTAGCAACATTTCTTATGGAAAAGTAAACCTTTAAAATCTATATTTATGAATAAACAGCATCATGTGAGTCTAATAATTGTAAAATGATGTGTTTTAGCTCTGTTATCCAGCTAGTGGTGCGCCTTCACGAATGGGAGACGTTGCTGCAAGCTGCAATCATGTAAATATGCGGACAGAGCTTAAGGTGCAATCCATTTTCCCACCTCTAGATGGTGCCCTCTGAGAAAAAACTCGATTTCTTGGAGCTGATATTTGTATACAACCTACTTTCTATTTTCTTGGTGTTTCGATGTTTGAATTTATGAGGAAAAGCTCCACTCACCTCCTTCAGGAATGTTCTCTGTGTCTCATCATCAAAGCGAATTAGCTCTTTCATCACCATCACCTCCCCGGTCTCCCTGTGCGTCACCTAAACCAAAAACGCCAACGTTAACTGTAAGTATTCCTCCAGGCATATGAGACAGTGTGTCTGTTTTGCTAATGTAAAAACCTTGATGGCCTGCCCGAAGCATCCCTTTCCAAGCACTTCTCCGTGGATGAGGTCAGACGGGCGGAAGATGCGGTGAGTCCGATTGGACATGACCCGGAGCGACTCTGACCGATTGATTTCCTTCCTCTGGGAAATGGGCGACGCAGCGTTACTGGAGCCTGGAGACTTATCAATACTGTAGCTCCGCCTTCGGTGAGGTAAATATGAAACACTGGTGTTAAGAGTCCTAAGGAGAAGACTCTGTAATAAAGAAATTAAATATACTACTCCTTACGTTATGATGCGGGATTTCAGGTTGCTGATGTCATGGTTGGGGGGCTGGGTGATGGGCAGAATGGGGCTGGGGCCCCCTGACATGGGGGTGGATAGAGTTCCATCTACCTGATCTTCAGCCTCTGAGGAGCTTCGCTCTTTCCTCTGAGCATGTGGGTCGTGCTCGATGGTGAGCTGCAGTCGGCGGCTCGTCTCCTGGATGAGCAGGTCAATCTGCAAAGTCCAGGTCAGCCAATTACATAGAGAGGCAAGCCATTCTAACATGTAATCATATAATCTGGCTATGGTCCATAGACAGAACCCAGTCGTGGGGCGAAATCTACATTTGTCTTTTAACCGGAGCAAGGAACAAGGCAACGTAATCATCGGTACGGATGTCAGTCATTGGGGCACACCGCCATACAAAGTTGAAGAAGAAGCAAATACCTCCTTCATTGAAATGAAGGACTTTAGTACCTCTATCTTCTCATGTGTCAAAGAAAAGCCCAAGTCTAAATCGCCCAAAGTTGATGCCAAAACCATTTCAAACAAGGGCTGTTCCTGAGCCGACGCCATCTTTGTAGTTTTTATCCATCGCAGTTCTGGTGTTAAACCCGGCCAACGTCTCTCTATAAACATAGAGCATGAACCTAAATCTGTCCGGGCCAATGGTAGACCTGCTGAGGATACTATAATTTGTGTAAGTTTCTAAGCTACCATTGACACGATTTCTGGGGATTCCTGGGAATAAACATCTCTTTCAGAGTAAAGAAGTGGTGAATACCTCGTCCAGAGGAACATGGTGAATGGGTGTCCCGTTGATCTCCAGGATCTTGTCTCCAACATGGATGGAGTTTTTCACATCTGGGCTGATGCAGTCAGCATCCACTCTGGGAAAAACAACAACAACAATAAGATATAATTTGTTGCTCTTTGTCAAAGACTTGAGATCTGACAAGTCGGTGTCTCATTTATTTTAATTCAACAACACAGTCAGTCCGGCGTCCACACTCACTGCGAGACTCTAACGGTGCATCTCTGCTCAGGACCGTAGCCGTTGGTTGGGCTGATCGGCTGGTCGATGGCCACAGAGAATCCCCGCCCCTTGCGTCCATTGTCGCTCTTGTCGGTAGCTGGGATGGACACGAGTGTGACGGTGTGAGGGATCTGGGAACATGGCGAGTCCGGCAGTGACACTGGGGTGACGATGGTCTGGTGGTAACAGTGACCGCTGGAGATGGCGAAGAGAACGATAGTCACCATCAGAGGAAAAACCAGATAAATCCTCATTAAATCCATTTTTAAAAGCATCACATGTTGTTGACTCCAGTTTACTGAAAACGTCATTGTCTTGAGAAGAGGCTGACCTTTAGAATGAACTTTGCTTCACAATTATGGACTACAAATGAGACCTTTTCTCTAAAACAACATCGACTTTTGTGCTGTATGTACAGTTCTGTCCTTAAACTTCATCATAATGTCTTCATTGGATTTTGCCTATCATTTATTTATTATATCGGTGTAAAAAATAATTAAACTATGACAATTCTTCTGCAGACTGTCTCAGTGTCCTTCTTTGATCACAGAATGACTCAATAATGTGAGATATGTTCTGCAGAAGACTCTAGTCCTGCTTCTCTGAACGTCTATGGCTCGCCTGTGGCTTGTGAGAGTCACAAAACACAACCCTACAGCTAAATGAGCAGAAAAAAAGTGCATGAAACAAACTAGATTTTTGTTTTTTCACTTGTCACATTTCAGGAGAAAAATGAGGTAATATGAACAGCTCACTAATGCTCTTATTAAGCTAAATATTTCACAGGTTCCACCTGTGACTAATCAGGCTTTCCAATAATTTTCCAAAATTTTCCAAGAGTTTAGAATCTAATTGTGTTTATCAAAGAAAATCACATTTTCATTGTAAATCCCATTTTTGCAACCATTTCTGATTATGTTGAGCTGGATGCTCACCAGTAGAGTTTGGATCTCTCCACCAGAGCGTACGTGTCTCCATCACCGATGAAAGTCCGGCAGCTCAGACAGCTGAAGCATTCTGGGTGATATTTCTGTTCCCCTGCAACCTGTAAGAGGAATACAAACACATGCACACTTAAAATGGGTCCATGGTGGAGAGGGATGTGAGATAAGACTTTTCTCTGCATTAAGACTAAAATAAAAAAGTTGATAACAGAGGTAATGGTGTCGGTGGAGCGGAAGGCAACACCCGGCTGGGAAGTCTGGTCTCTGAGGGTAAGGCGGGGTTACAGGCTCGCTGATCGAGTTTGCTGCAGCCAGATGCCCTCTGAAGCTCGGGGCAGTTTTATGAACAACAGATGGAATTGAATTATTGCTGCAACACAGCAGCAGGAAATGAGAAAATAATTCACATTGACAGATCTGAGGATGATGTCCTGTTTCAGACCATAAACAGGTCAAATAAATCATAAAACCTAGAATACTTCTTTAAAAATTCTCCTTTACTGTAATTCATCAAGCAAAACAACAAATTAATTGTCCTTCACCTCTAATTAATATTAATGACCTCTAGCTCCTTCAGATAGCGGCGACCTACTATAATACTTAGTGGTGATCCATGATTAAACATGAGCAACAACGTTAAGCAGCGAAGGTCGAGATCACTGGAGCCATGTCCTCCCTGGAGGATGTGCTTGAGCTTTATTTTTTGCGTTAAGTGGCAGAAATGTCTTTGAGGGAGCCAGCTTCTTGACAGCTCTCCTCATCTGCAAAGATCTGCAATGCTAATGCATAAAAAGAGGCTAACAAGGGATGCTGGATACAGGAGTTCTGGACAAAAAATTTTACATTTCAGAATTTCAAAGCAGAAATTAGGAATGTAATATACAACACTATAAAATATAGACATATAAAGGATTTTGTAAATTAAAATAAAGTCTGAACAACTCTTAAAAGGAAAGTAGGTAGTTTTGACTTGCTTTTAGCACCCCCTAGCGTTCGTTTAATAGAACTGAAAGCAAAACCTTTCTCCTTGCTGTGCGTTCATCTTTTTAACACCTAAATCTAACAGCTGAAATGCCTCCTCAGCCTTGATCAGTGTCCACAGGAGTGATTCATCACTAAATCAAACAAATCAGCTATGTTCATGATCTAAAACATGCAGAAAACGTGCCGAAAGCAGCTCAGTTTTTTTCAGTCCAGCAGATTGGATTGGCACTCTGAAGTTGCAAATGTGGTATTCTGGCCACAGAGGGTGGTAGGGGTCTGAGTGACATTTCATTAACCCTGCAAAGGGTAATTTTAGCACATACTGGCTCAAGAAAACAATCTAAAAATCTGAAAAATTTGCAAAGTATCCCTTTAATAAACTAACTGCAGGATAAAATATGAACTTATGGCATCAAATGTGGATTCTACCAAAACAATAACATTATAGTCTTTATGTCTGCTGACCCAGCCTTAATGAAGAGAAGCAGAAAAGTGACACAAGCCAGTAAACATTCAGAGGACCCTCAGGCTGCAGAAAATCAAAACCAATTAATTATTAGCTTTATTACTACTTTATCTCCCCAAAGTACAATAGTATCCTGGCTTTTTATTACCCTAACCTTTGTTTTAATGATTTTTGGTTTTTTTTTATCAGTAACTAATAAAGGCCAGAATAACCATGATGTTCATAAAATATGAAAGACAAATTAAAAAGGAGAACAGCCCTTTAATGATTTAGTAACTGACCAGAGAACAAGGCAGACATATTTTTATTTACGACTGGAGCAGCCTCGTAAGGATGAGCAAATAGAGCGAGACATAAAAGGTGACTCCAAACAGACGTTGTGTGGCTTTCAAGTAAAATCCGACTATTCTTTCAGAGGGTTTTAGTTTGTTTCTTTTCTTGTGATTATCTGTGGATTTTCTCCCAGTGTGTCACTTCACATGTAACCTCTGAGAAGGCAGGAAGAGAAGACAGCTGGACGGGGATGACTAGTGAGCTGCCCTGCACAACCTGTCACTAATGGTACCATTTGCTTCAAGCGTAGGCTCCGAAAAACATGCACACACCCTCCGATAAACATGCACACACCCTTCTGAAGACCACATCTGACAGACAACTGCTGCCACCGCCTTTTTCATCAAGAGCATCACTTCCTCTCCAACGTTTAAAGAGAAACTGGGAGCATTTCAAAATAAAGTACATCACCCACCATGTGACTAAGACTGTCCAAAAGGAAAATGTAGAATATCACATGTTTAATACTGGCTCCACTGGATTTTACTGATCCTGTCATGAGCGAGCACATGCCTTTAAGCGTGTTGTGTCTGTATGAGCTCATCGTCACGCAGATGAGTGTGACTTCATTTTATCTAGTTGTGTGGTCACATCAAACCTTTTCTAGAGACAGACCAGACTGCTGATAGTTTTCCCTGTGGGTGGGTGAAGGGGGGTGGGGTGATGGGGTCTATGAATATCTGAGTCAGATTAGACCTTTAGCTAGTAGTTATGTGTGTCCACTTAGTGTTTTTGTAGCTACATAAAATGTTTTTAATAGTGCATCCCCTTGTACTGCTAATTGTTAGCATTAATATTTTTATATAAAACCTTCTGGTTATTGCTTTAGTGTATTTTTTTTATTTTAACCCTCTCAGGCTCAAAATAAGTTTTGATAAAAGGACAAACAACTAAGTCCTTCGGATGTACTTCTGAGTTAAAAAATGCTCATGAAATACGTATGTGGAGTAACCAGGTAGGTGTTAATGTTGCAAATCTGCAACACCTGCCTCTGAAGGGTTAACATGTGTTTTTCTTGGGAAATGTGATTTAACCCACATAGGAACACCTACACCTGATGTTACAATAAATAAATAAAAAAAAAACCAATAAAGGTTAAATCTCTAAACTTGGTATATTAGTATAACCTTGAAACAAATATTAGTATTTCGTAACTTTTTTTCATTTAAAATGGATTAGTCATCATCACACACCGGTGAAATAACATCTCTGCATTGAACCCATCCCCGTACGGAGCAGCGAGCTGCAGCAACGGCTGCGCTCAGGAACTATTTGGTGGTTTAAGCCCCCAATCCAATTCCCTTTAAAGGTGAGTGTCAAGCAGGGAGGCATTGGGTCCCATTTTTAGTCTTTGGTATGACCCAACACGATGATTTGAATCTCAATTTTCTAGTCTCAGGGCGGACACTCTTACACTGAACCACTGAGAAGGTTTATTTTAATAAAAAGAAAAAATAAATATTATTTTACCCATTGTAGAAAGGTTCTAGATCAGCAGAGACGTACTGCTTATGTTTTACAGGACTGATGAGCTAACGATCAGCGCTTAAAACAGCTCATTGTTCTAAATTTTTAAATTAATACAAGTAAATATAGCTTTATAAACCTTTACACCACCAGAGATTTCACCAGGGCTGTTTACAGGTGTAATCATCACCACCAGCAGCAAAATGTAGCTCTCCCATGCATTCAGGGGACTATTCCAGTAAAAATATCTCGATATGTCTGCAAAAATAAAACTGAAGCAAAATTGAAGGTATGATGGTTTTGATATGAGATTTAAATCTATGAGATTGAAACTATTTAAAGATGACAGAGTGACACAGTTCAGGCTAATGAGCTAACTGCTGGGTAGTGGAAATAAACTCTACTACCCCACCACAGAATGGACAGACTTTCTAATTACGCTCAACAGACAATAGTGAGCCAAAGCACTGCTGGCTTGATCTATCGCAGCTCAGACGCTTAGCTAATTTCCAAAGAGCTCTCCTTAGTATGCTGTGGAATGTGAATTGTTCCTCAAACACCATTCAGGGGGATTTATGATGGTTTTAAAGCTAAAGAACTTCAAAACATGTTGGTAGTAAATCAGAGCATCGTCGGATAAGGCTACCTTTCAAGATCATAATAGCAGCAAGATTAAACTGAGAAAAGTGAAAACATCCTGAGAAAACAAACACTTCTACACATTTCTACTTAAGGTTCATGTTTTTCAGGTCTCTTTTTCTTTTGGTTCCTCTTTTACCAACGTAACACAGTTTGAAATTTCCCCTAGGCATTTTCCAAATTCTACATGCTTTTTCACATTTTCCTTGGTGTTTACGAGAAATGAGTGACTGTCAGCACCATCGGTGACAGCTTGAAGATGAATTGTGCCATGTGGCAGCACTTTAGTCATTAAAAAGACAAATTTTCAAAATATAATAACTTGATGGCACTGGAGGCAAAAAAAAAACTTGGTCCTTATTTGTTGGGAACAATTATTTTTCAAACAGTAATTATTAGTTAACTGCTTCTGAGACTCCACAGTTAAAGAATAATGACTTTATGGCTCATAAATAGTACTCTGCTATCCCAGACAAGCCCCCAATTTGTCTTAACCTGGTTCAGCAGCCCAAACAAAAACTCGGAGCGATGCAGGATTAAATGGAAAACTGTTATGGAAATTTTATATTTCATTCAAGTTTTGAAATAAGGAAAGTTATTAAAAATATAAAGTACCACTTCGACACTCAAACCCCAGGAATCTCAAATGTATAAGATCTGCATTTAACCTGTGCAGAATAGAAATACAATATTATCCAAACAATCCTTAATAATGCAGCATCCACTTCCAGATTTTTTTGCTACACACTTAGAAACATGTGGTTTTAGTGTATGGATTTGTATTTATATGCTGGTAAAAAAGATATTTTAACTCAGTATTGTATGGTGGTTCATTCATTTGTCGATGAAGAGAGAGCTAAATGAGTCACTGGGAATTCCTGAAGGTTAACATCACTAGCACGATTAAAATGTTGCACAAATCAAGGCTGCTTTTAGCAGAAGTAAGGTCAAAGAAAGAAGAAGTTGCTTGTGCAGAATACTCTTTCAAGCTGCAGTTGACATCATTTACGGAAATACAATTAGACTGAAAGACTAAGACTGAGGACAGTGGGCTACATTGATGCTCTCTGAATGGAAACCCCCTCCCACCATAAACAGTACAGAACCACAGTATACACAGGCCCCTGGCTTTAGACAGCATCAATGCAATCTGCTGCTGTCGGCACATCCCACACTCGCTGCGGACAGACTCATGCATGGTGGGTAGTAAAT